ATGCTTTGCACACAAGAGATGCTTGACAAATGGTTGTTTAATAAATTAATGATTCTGAGAAATTCTTTAACCTTGGTAGTTATTTTTTGAAGACTTCTTTTTAATGAAATGTTTATTTTACTTTTTTAAAAAATTGATAAGCATTGAGTTTTTCTCTCCCATGGAAAAAAAAAGAGAGAAAAAAAACCTTGTAATAGGCATAGTAGAGTACCACATACACTGGTCATATACAAAAATTTGTGTATCATTCTGCATCCTGGGTCCATCATTTCTCTCAGAAGGTGGGTAGGATGCTGCATCGTTAGTCCTCTGAGATAGTGGTTGGTCATTGTATTAATCAGAGTTCTTAAGTCTTTTATGGTTGTTTATCTTTACTCTGTCGTTGCTGCTGTATAAATTATTCTCTTAGTTATGTTCCCTTCACATAAATCTTCTTAGGTTTCTCTGAAACCATCCTTTCTGATATTTCTTATAGTTACTATAGCTGTATAGTTACAATAACTATATTTATATGTAACAATAGTTGTATGTATATGTAACAATAGTTACATTTATATACTATACTTTGTTTAGCCATGGTTCAGTTGACGAACACCCCTTAGTTTCTGATTCTTTGTCACTCCAAAAGGAGCTCCTATAAATATTTTTGTATCTATGGATCCTTTTCTTTATTATTTGATTACTTTGTGGCTATAGGCTTAGTAGCAATATTGCTGAGCCAAAGGGTATGCACAATTTAGTGACTTTTGGGACATAGTTCCAAATTGCTATCTAGAATAACCAAACCAATTCATAGCTCCATCATCAGTGCATTAATGTGCCAGTTTTCCTGAAGCCTTTCCAACGACTGTCATTTTCCGTTTTTAGCCTCTTTGTCAATCTGATGTATGTGTGGTGGAACCTTTTGGTAATCACTGTCCAACATCCTCAAGGCAGGTATTGTTTAGCTCCTGTTATGTAAATATCTTTCCTATGCAAGCCTAGTTATAAAGTGTGAGGAACTTATAAACAAGATGTGCCTTTAAGAATCCATACCAAGATGAGGAAATTAGGGCAACTGATAATAATAAAGTGAGGAATGTGGAGATAAGTTTTTGGACAGTGTTCTCAATTTTGTTTTGTGCCATCATTCAGGTTACTGGCAAATTATCTCTCAGTACTCTGGATGGAATATGCTGTTTATTTTTATAATTGTTATCAACTGTGTTTTATCTTTCTAGTGAAGCTAGGGAAAAGTGGCTCAAAAAGGATTATTAATACAATTTAACATTTAGCCAGTGTGAGAGTGTGGGCAAGTAAGGATAAGGTTTTCAGCCATGTTTTCTCTTCTTACTAGTGTTCTTCCTTTGCTAGGATTCTCCACGGCAACAAGCAGTGAAGTTCATGAATTTGAAGTCAGGAAATATTCTTCTATGAAGTACTTATGGCTCAATGGCTGCTTGGCCAGCCATCCCAAAAAAGTGATTTTACTGCTAAATCACTATGGAATCAAACCACCTTTGTAGTCCAGGCCTAGCCATACTTAATTCTCTGCCATCAAGACCTATGCTTTCCAACATAGCCCAAGCATAGCCCACAACTCAGTGCTAACAGAGAGAAGGGCAGCAGTGCAAGACTCCCACAGTAGGCACTTAGTAAATATTTGTTGAATGACTAAACCAGTAAATTAGGACATCTTAATGAATCTCCTCCAAGCTGATTGGAATTATCCTATCCCCCTTTCTTCCATGCCCCTAGCTCTGTGGTTTGCTAACCCTCCTAGTGGGGAGGAGTGCACAGCCAGCAGCAATACCTCTCCTCTATTCTGCTCTAAAACTTTGCTTGAGGCATATAATTCCCTCTCTTTTCTCTATTCCCCCAGTCATGTATCAAAGCTCTATAGAAAGCACAAAATGGCTAGGGAATCTAGCTGGAGAAAATAGGAAGACTGTGATTAGGAGAATCTCTAATGCCCAGAGATTCAGCTCTTAAAATGCAAGATTCATATGTACCTATCTAATGTCTCACTAATGGCTCCTGTAGAGTATAAGGACAGACTTCCATTCTTAATACAAACACACTTATTAAATATACTTTACTGGGCATAGCACAAACCCAATTAAGATAATACTTTTCTAACTATCATCCCTCTTCCATAATACTCTCTTATTATCATAGTAGGCTTTGTGGGTTGAGAAAGTGCTGTCAGGTTCATCATCATCATCATCACTAACATTTACATAATGCTTTAAAGTTTGCAAATCATTTTATATACATTTGATCTTCACATCAACCCTGTAAGGGTTGATTGTTATTTTCATTTTACAGATGGGGAAACTGAGGTTGAGAGAAGGTAAGTGAGTTGTCCAGGCTCACATAGCTAATAAGTAAGTGTCTGAGGCAGCCTCCAAACTCAGGTCTTCTTGACTCCAAGTCTAACACTGTATCCATTGTACCCTCCAGCTGCCTAGGTTAACTACCAACTAGGAATAAGAAAGATTATTAGGGGTTGCATCTCCATATCAAGAGGAAAGTACAATAATCATTATCAAAAGAAATGGCAAAAAAAATTTGCTGAACCCGGATGATATATAGGGTACCATGTCAAACCTAAAGGAAGTTATAAAAGTCCTCGCCGTCATAGAGCTTAAAATTGAGAAGTTCATAGTCCTGAAGTGGTTAGATTTTTATACTGAATTCTACTAACTCTCTCTTGCACATTTTCTCAGGTGCAAATTGTTTGGCTAGCCACCTGAGAAATCCAAATGTTCACTCAGGCCATTGAAAGCAGGAAGACAGGTGTCTTCCCAATGCTAGGATAAGTTCGTACCATACTGATGAATAACTGAGTCATAAAGACTAATAGGTATAAATATAGGTATTTATAAAATTAGGTATAAAGACTAAGAGGTAATAGGTCATCACAGATGACGAGAATCATTTAATGGCACCTTCTGTAAGAAGCTGCTTTATCTGGAAGCCCTTGGTCTCAAAGTATATCAGGCTAAGCTTATTTTTCAAATGGGAGAATTTCAAGGACAAGAACATGTTCAAAAAAGCTATAGAATGGATGAAAGACATGGTCTTTTACCCCTCCAATTCATTAGTTTTTGAAGTTTTACCTCATTTTTCCTGGACATCCATCCTCAGATTTACCAGTTTATATATTTAATCCCAGTTGTTCTTATTCTGCAGATGTTCAAGTCAAATCAATAAGTATTTATAAAGTGTCTACTGTGTTCCAGTCAGTAAAGTCAAGTCTGCATTAGACATAGTCACATCATTTCCTACAGGGTTATAATCACAGCCCAACATTATTTTGTCTGGTGACTTTGATAGTCCATTAAACTTGGTAACACAGCCTTGGATAGAGCATGTTGCTGATGGTTAGGGCCATTTGTTCTCACTGTTTGGGCAGAGCTATCCCTAAAAATACTATTAATTTAAGCTTCTACCCTAATTACATTTCTATTTTTTTTGTTCTGAAGAATTCTCCATGTGGGACAGTCAGGCAGCCTTGACTTCAGCTCTGACAGCTGCTAGTGTGTCTATTGTGAACTAGACAGATATATATTTATATCCTAGCCATGCCAGGGTACATTAGCTCAACCAGTAAAGCATTTGTTTAAAGGCAAGCTGCCCTCTGTACTCTTGGAATAAAATGAAGAGTGATAATTTTTCATCTATCTAAATTCTAAATGAGCCATGTATTCCCTACAGCTTGTTTCTCCCTGAAATTCAGACCTGTCTTTTTAATATCAGTGTTGTCATATGGTTGTGAGTCATGGAACACTGTAGTCTTCAGAGAATTAAAATTGGGTGTCACTAAGGGCATTGGAGAGGCACTTAGTGGGTGTGAGTGAACAGGCTGTAACACATAACAAATAAGTAACCGTGAAGAACTGGAATAAAGGATGTGTTTAAAGAAACAAGTAATAAAGAGAGAAGATAATCTGGTTCTATGGAAAGAGCAAAGAATTGCTAGTGGGCAGTCCTTGTGATGTCAAGGGAAAACAATCAAGGTCTCAACAGTAGACCCCAGGGGAGAATGGGGACAAAAGGTTCCTAAAATGGGCAGGCATAGGTGACTTACCTCCATTCAAATATCCATGTGTTTACCTTTCTTTATATCCTTAGCACTCAGTGGGGCATATATTAGGTGCTGAATAAATGCTTTTTGATTGACTGATCTATGTATATTTGCCTTTCTATTGAGACATCTCTCTCGCTGTGTCTCTCCATATATATACATATATATGTATATATATGTATGTATGTATGTATATATGTATATACACACACACACACACACATAGGAGTGTATGTATATGCGTTTTTTTGTGTGTGTCTTAGATTCTGGGCTCCCTAAGGGTTTGATTGTGCCCATTATTTACAAGGTTTTTGGGGAGGCCTTTTGTATTGATGATGATTGTGTCATCTGAGATGATTAAAAGACTACATTTTGTTCACTAAATCAGCCACTCAAACTCAAAGTTAGGTGCTTAAGGAAGTGTGCTAACTTTATTTCATTCCTAGTCTGCCATTTCATGTTAATGTTCAGTCTAATTATGATCAACTCTATTAAGAAAATGGTGACATTGCTAAGTAAGTATAATTTAATCTTTCTTGAATTTTTAGTGCATATTACTATTTAGCATTGTCATGAACTTGAGTTGCCATTGTATTGTAGATGTGGAGGAGCTAATAGAATTCCAACTGATAGAAAACTGTATTACAGGGAATTTGTGTTCTCATCCTAGCATCTTGAAATAAACCATGGAATTCCATAAATAACTACCTTATAAATTTATAGGTAATGGGTTTTTTCCCAATAGGCTTTGGCTTAGAGCTTTCCGTCATGTAAGCCCTTAATATTCTGCTAGCTTTGGAAAGATCTCAGGCTGGTATTTTCTGATGATCACTTTAAAAATGGGTGGTTGAAGGCTATTTCACCCTTTTGAAAGAGAGAGAAAGCCCTATTAGGAGTCAAATAATTTCAAATTTTATTTTATTGTATTTAGATCTGAAGAAAACTCTTGCTGTCTTATTGGACAATATTTTGCAACGTATTGGCAAGTTGGAATCGAAGGTGGACAATCTTGTAATCAATGGCACTGGAGCAAATTCAACTAATACCACCACAACCGCTGTTCCCAGCAGCATAGCAGCATTTGAGAAAATTAGTGTAGCAGGTAAGTGTGGCCAAATGCTGTTTTAATGGGATGAGGTGGGGACATATGAGGCATGTGAAGATGTAGGGATGAGGAAATAACACTTTGAACTATGAGGTTCTTAAATATTGGGAAGCTAAAGTTCAAACTTAGTTTGATGTTTGATGTTAAAGATAGCAAAAGTTTTTCATTTTGTTTTCATCTTCATATGCTTTGTCCCTTCTAATCTTTGTTCTCATTTTATGATGTTTGCTCTATAATGAGTTCTGAAATGTCAGTTCTAATTGAGGAGGACAATAACACAAATAAATTGAGTACACAAGTTGTCCAAAAATTTCATATTAGCTAGATCTTTTTCCCTCCTCTTTTATGCCCAATCAGATATCTTTTAACCATGCCTGACATACAAAAACTGACTTTGAATTCTATTTGCCTGACTCCCTGGATGCTAGGTTAAAGTGCTATTAAGCAATCAATCAAAATATAGGAAAAGTAATCCAACAAGAGATAAAATAGAAGAGAAAGAATAATACTAAATAGATTATGAATCCCTTAATCATCCAAACCTGATCATAGAGAATCATAGAATCAGTACTGCAGCTGATCAACCTCTGCTTAAATACTTCCAGTGAAGGAGAAGCGAGCCTATTCCATTTTTGGACACCTTTTATCATTAGAAAATTCTTCCTTTTTATTGAATCAAAATCTATCTGTAATTCTTCCCATTAATTCTAGGTCTCCTTCCTCTTCAAACACAAAATAAACCTAATTTTTCTTCTAGTTAATGGCCCATAAGTTATTTAAAGACATCTAATAACACCTCTCCTAGGCCTTCTCTTTAGGTTAAGGTTCCCTATTATTTGTTTATTAATTTACTTATTTATTTATTTACTTATTTATCTATCTATCTATCTATCTATTTATTGATTTTTAGGCTGTCAAGGTCATGTAGCTAGTAAGTGTCTGAGGCCAGATTTGAATTCAGGTTTTCCTGATTCCAGGCCTGGTGCTCTATCCACTGTGCCACCTAGCTGCCCCCAAAATCCCTATTTTTCTGACTCTACATCATGCCTTCCTGGTCATTATTCCCTGAACTTATTCCAGTCTTCCAAGTTCATTTTTAAATGTGTGGTCTACAACTGAGCTTAATATTCTAGATATGGTCTGACCATTATAGAATGCAGTGAGACTGTCACTTCCCTTTGTTCTGGACAATATGCTCCTGTTAACAGCCTAAAATTGAATGAGCTTCTATTAATGTAGTCTAAAATCAAATAAGCTTTTTTTGGGAAGTTGTAGTATACTTTTGACTCAATGAGATTATGACCCATTTAAAGCCTCTCAGCTTCTTTTTTAATGTGAACTGCAGTCTAAGTTTTCATCCTATATTTCAGCAGGTGATATTTTTAAAACCCCTCAAAAACACAGGACACTACATTTACTTTGATTAAATTTCATCTTGCCAGATTTGATCCATTGTTCTAGACTGTCAGATTCTTTTTGAATCCTGATTCTTACATCTTACCCAACTTTGTACCATCTATAAGTTGGATATTCATACCATCTATGTCTAATTCAAGTCACTCATAAAAATGTTGAATAGGACAGGGCTAAGGACAGAGGCCTGGCTGTTACTGCTAGAGATCTCCTTCCAGAATGACATAGCCCCATCCCTGACACTAGCACCATAAACAATCAAATAAATATAATTTCTTTTATCTTTTCTTAAATTGCTGGATTTTGAAATAAATGGGAGTTAATTTTAGAGGCAAAAAGGCACTGGGAAATTTTGTTGTTGTTGTTGTTTTTTAAAGAAGAGACACTTTATATATATTCTTGAGGATAGGATCACAATTTCCCTATTGTGACTGTCTCTTCCAGCTCATGGTGATACTCTAGGGTTCACATTTACTTTTGTGACCATCATAGGAGGCTGAGAGAGTGTGAGGGAAGCAAGTCAGATCCAAACCTTTCCCCTAACTCTAGAGTTCAATGCATTGAATAATTATAAGTAATATGCATGTAACTCTACTGGGTGGTAACAAAACCCTGAGTGAGGATGGTTTCATTTAGTTACATGTTATTGTTGCTTTTTCAAAAGTATATGTTTTTCATAGCCACTTTTTTTAAAATGTCATGAATTTTACATAGATTTTGGTGAAACACTTCCCCCAACACTCCTATTTTTCAGCTCCCTCCCCCAAAATGTCAAAACATTTGTCTTATACTTTATGCAGCCCTACATCGTGGGCTTCTCATAATATTCTTTGCCTTTTTACAAACTTTAAATTTCAACATATATTTCCAATAGTCTAAGTATCCAACTAAACAAAGGTATTAAAAATAACTTTTAATTACAGCACAGAGACAATGTCATCTAGGACATAAATCCTTTCTTCCCTGCGGTTTCTAACAACTTCTGTAATTAGACAAGGAAACCTCCCACTGTGTTGAGCTGCTTATTAAAATATGTAACACTCCCTCATCTGCCCCTCCTCCTTCAATGGAAAATATTGTCAGGAAGGCCTTCAGCTTCATCAGATCTCTCCTCTTTGAGAACTACTGCTCTTAGCCTTTCTGTGGTGCCCTGCATCAGAGCTTTAGAATTATGGTTTTCTGATATCTATGCATCGTTATCTTTGATAGTGATGATTTTCAAAGATCCTCACAAGATTGGTTTCTGGAGTCATTTGGCAGAAGAAGTAGAATACAATTCTAATGGGAAGGAATCTCATTTTTGGATGATTCCATCACAATGACTCATACTTATTTAATCCATCAATGGACATTTGCTGAGTGCCTTCTGGGTACACATAGGCAGGCTAATGGCATTGGAAGAGAGATAAAAAGAAGTATATGATATGCTTCTTTACCTCAAAAAGTTTATGGTCTATTTAGAGAAACAAAACATAATGTGATTAAAAGACAACTAATTATATGAGGAACTCCATAGTTTATGGTAAACTCTAAATGAATGTCAGAGAAGAGAAAGAATTAAGGAGAATGCCATCATTTTGGACTGAAGAAGTATGGGACGATTTCATAAAGGAGGTGAGATTTAGGTTGGATATTGAAGGACGGGTAGGATTTTTTAGTAAGTGGAGAGCAAAGAGATAAGGGTACAGAGCATCTTAGGTCCGTGTTGTATGTTGGAGTACACAGGATGTGTTTACCAAGGTCAGTGAGTCAATCAGTCTGGTAGGAGCAGAAGATTAGCATGGTATGAGACAAGGTTGGTTAGAAAGGGAAATTAAATCCAGATTATGGAGGGTCTCGAATGTTCAGTTGTCGAAAACATACAGACTAGAAAAGGGAAGTAAAACTGATGAAGAGAGAGATTGGTAATGGAAACACCTGCTCTTTCATTCGCCATATTACTGCCATAGATTGCCTTCAAGAGCTGGAACTGGAAGTGACTGTAACAAGACAGCAGGTCTCTCTGGGGGCTGCTATTTTTATATTTGAAAAGTCTTAAAATGCTGCCAAATTTTTGAAGATACCAGGAAATGATATTCAACCATGTCCTTTGATATCCAAAAATCCTTCTGATAAGAAGTTTCCTTTTATTTGAGTCTGTCCTGCTTCCATTTGAAAAGCCACTTCCAAAAATTTAGAACTCAAAATCTTATAAAAGTGAATGTTGAAAAACTAAAAATAAATAAAGTATTTTTAAAAGCCACTTCCTCTTACTCTTTCTTTTTGACAAAATAGAGAAAAGCAAACTGTTCCCTTTGTATTAAAATCATATCGAATAAAGTAGGTAGATAAAATAAAGTATGTAGATAGTTATAAAATGTTCATTTTCAATATCTTGGGCATGGTAGATTATAAACTAGGGACAGAAATGGTCACCTTACAAATGTTGAATTGAATTTTGCTTCATTAAATTAGAAAGGGCTCTAATTAGTCTGTCAAACATTAAGGGTATTTATTAAGTAAGTGCCTTGACTGTGCCATGTGTTATTAGTGTACGCAAAACCCATCTTAATAAAAACAACACAAATACCTCCTGATGCCTTGTTACAGAATGGACCCTTGGTTCTCAAAAATTTATGCCAGTGCCGGCTCTGATAGGTTCAAACAAACTGGAACTGTTCAGACAAACTAGGAGCAGCCTAGCTAATTTCAGAGAGATTCATTTCCAGGATTGCCATACAAAGATGATTGGGGAGGGGAGGGCTGCAGTAGCTATTGAGGCCAAACCCTGCCTAATCAGAGAGGAACTGTGACCTGCACCAAAGATGGCAACACTTACACTTCAATGATCACTGATCTTTAGAATAGAATAGAATAGCAATGTTGGATTTTTTTAGTGTGTTAGGGTTTACTGAACCCTTAACATCTCTCTCCTATGCCTCTGAGACATTTTACAAATGAGAAAACTGAGGCTCGGAAAGATGAATTGACCTGTCCCAAATCATACCGTAAGAGTTAGAGGTGAGATTTGAATCCAGGTCTTCCTGACTCCCAAGACCAGCCCTCCTTCTATTCTGACACATTGCCTCCTGTTTTTCTGGTTTTGTGGCTTTTTTTTTTCTCATGAGACATTTATGATTTAGTTTAACCTCACTGATGTATGTCAGTGGCTCTCAAACTATCACAAAGATGTGGCAAACATTGCTCTTGAGGTGAGAAAATCCATTTTTTAAAAACAGGATTACTATATTAGTTAAGTGAAGTTTCTTCTCTTCTTCCTTCTCTACATTAAGACATGTGGTAATTGCTCAGAAATGTACTTCCTGGTGTGTCTTATTGACTACTCTGGTGTCTTATTGCTCACTGATGTTTCTTATTACTTACTGTTGTGTCTTATTGCTTGCTGATGTATCTTCCTGTTGATTGCAAACTGTCTTTAAGTTGTGTACTATGGCAGTGGAAGTTCTGAAATTTATTTTCTTTGTAGTGACTATCTCTTTTACTCCATTTATTTTAAACCAGAACATTTCTATATGGCATTTGTCTTAAGTTGTTTTTTAATGTGACAACAAATGTTTGAGCATATCCTATCTGTAAGGCACTTT